AGTCCAAAGCAAACCCCCCACCCAGCACAGCTCGATTTGGAGTCATTTCTCACAGCATTTCCAGGACACGGGGAGGCCTGCCTTGGTCCTGGCAGCTGGCCTCAGTCCAGCCTGACTTTTGCTAATCTAACATGCATCCCGGTGAACTGGGAGAGGGAACAAAATTAGGAAGAAAAGAGGATGTGCTTCCCCCATATCCCACCTGGGCCTATTAGCTGGTACCCCACTGGGGCAACAGCGGCAGGCAAGCCTCTGCCAGAACATGGGATCCCAGGGAGCTTCGGGGTGCTCAGGAGTCTCTGAGTGGACCCAAGTCTGGAGGGGTCTCTCAGGTCTCCGTACAGCTCTGCACATACGGACCACCCCCGGCAGCGCTCAGGGGATTCCCAAGGCTGCTTCTGGTGGTGCTGATGGGGAGTGCCACCTGGTACTGGGGTTCAGGGCTAGGCACAGTTCTTGACCACCTACGCTGTACCCCTGGCCCCCACCTCAGTGTTTTGCAGTGGGGGTGGGGCATCAAATAGGCAGGGCCCTCTCTACCAACAATGTGACCATCTATCTGACAGACAGGGCTGGCCAGTGGGGGCCAAATGGGTCAGATCAAGGGGAAAATACCATGCTTCGCTTGCCCCTAGGCAAACACCAACTCACGGAGGGGGGTGGTGTCTGTGGGGCGTTTCCATGGGGAGCAGCACTGTCCTTTCAACTTCATCAGGTGCTAGAACATGCCAACTCCAGTGTCCTTTGCTTTCCCAAGTCTGCCACTGCCCCACCCCCGGCCTTAGGGTGCTGTGCTGGTTGGGGCCCCGAGGGCCACATTGCATACTAATCCTTGGGTCAGTGTCTTGGCCTGCAGCTGAGACCCTCCTCTTTGGCTGGCATTTCATTGCAGGTGGCACCTGTGGTCCCGCATCTGAGTGTGGAACCCACAGCGTGTCTCAAGAGGGTCTCCCTCTCTGTGTGGGTCCCACACACATGGTCTGTGCAGATTCCCGAGGCGGCACCATGGAATGGAGCACATCATCATTACTGCTTTGGCACTCGGCAAATGGGAGCCAGATGCCTTCCACTTAACAGTCCCCAATGAACTAATTACAACGTTATTTTTACCCTGTTAGTTAATCTTTGTGCTGGAGGGGGGACACACCCAGCAAGGCCTCGGGGTTACTCCTGAAGCGCTGTGTGGGCCAGTGCGGGCCAGGGGTGCAGATACATGCTTCGTCCCTTTGAGCTCTCTCCTGATGCTTGCTTTTTTTTTTTTTTTTTGCTTTTTGGGTCACACCTGGGGATGCATGGGGGTTCCTCGGGAATCACTCCTGGCGGTGCTCAGGGGACCATATGGGATGCTGGGGATTGAATCCGGGTCAGCCACGTGCAAGGCAAATGCCCTACCCGCTGTGCTATCACTCTAGCCCCCTGATGCTTGCTTTTGATTTTTAAAAATGTCAAGAACTTGGTGGAGGGATGGGTAGTCGATCATTGTATAACTGAAACCCAAGCACAAAAATTTGTAAGTCTACAACTGTACCTCATGGTGTTTCACTAATAAAAACCTAAGAAAAAAATGTCAAGAACTGCTGGTGGCCCTATGATCCTGATACTTCTGGGCCCAGCAGCACCATGTTATTGGGCCCAAGCATTAAAATGTCCAGCTTTATTGGCGGGGTAGCAATGGCAGAGGCCTTGGGGCCCCCTGGATGCCACTTTCAAGCCCACCAAAGTCTCATTTGGAGCACCCTGTTCTCCTCTCCAAATGTCATTGCTAAAAACAACAGAAAGCTTTCTGAAGTCAGTTACTAGGAGACTAGAATCATTTCCGGCACAGGTCTTTCTTCTGAGGGAGTGTTTTGGGGGGCACTGTTTAGTGGGGCGTTGCCGAATAGGGGATGCTTGCTTCAAAGGCTAACATCGGACAAGTGACTCCTAAATTTCTGCTCTTTGCAAAAAAAAAAAAAAAAAAAAGGCCGAGTCAGGACATGGGAGATCAGTAATGATTATCAACCAAAAAATAAACTAAATTCTTGGTAACATTAGCGCCCCATTCTGAGTGTGCATTTCCCAAATTCTGCCTTAAGTTCCTGGCAATACAGAGCAGTTGAAACAAAACTTGGTTAACTCTCAGAGAGTGAGCCCGAACTCTCAAAAGGTCTTTCTGCTGGGTGGAAGTATATTTGTTCTCCAAGTAGCTTTTAAAAAAAGTTTTCTCTCAAACAAAATGTAAGTTTAGAAAGGAAGGAAAAATGTGGCCTGAATGTGCCATCGGGTGCCAAGACAACATTAAAATACTCATTTGGGAAAATATTCTTGAATCTAGTGGCCAAGAGACGTGCGGGGCAAGCCTGGGTTCTGAGGCCAGGCTGCCTCCATCCTTCCCGAGCACTTCCAGAGGGTCCTCAAGCTCGGAGCTTGCATTCAGCCAGACTCATCTGAAATACAACCCTTCCCACCAGAGTTTGCAAAAGATGCACACGAAAGAAACATCTCTTAGAACTTAGGGCAGTGGGCTTCTCTCCTTAACCCTGGTGCAACAGAATCAAGGAAAGCCAGTGAAAGCACTGTCAAAGCCAACGTCACAGACTGCCTTACTGGGGCTGGAGAAGGGGAGTGTTTCAGCAAGATCTCCATCACTTGATTTAAAGGCTAACGGGCAATGCTGAGAGCAGAAGAAGGTGCCCTGGCAGAACTAGGCAGAGCAAATGGAGCTCTTGCCTCTGCCTTTGACAAGAGGGTTTTCTGTTTGTTTTTTTTTCTTTTTGGGTCACACCCGGCAATGCTCAGGGGTTACTCCTGGTTCTGCACTCAGGAATTACTCTCGCAGTGCTCAGAGGACCATATGGGATGCTGGGAATCGAACCCGGGTCTGCCGCCTGCGTGCAAGGCAAACGCCCTACGCACTGTGCTATGCTCCAGCCCCAAGAGGGTTTCCTTTGGCCTATGCCTCGGGGTTTATCCTGCTGCTATGCCTTGTGGGGGGGGGTGGAGCAGTGCCCGGCACACATGCGCATATTTGAGTTGGCTGTGCTAATGGACCTGGCAATCATAGTCATGGAAAAGTTCTGCTCTGCTCAGCAGGTAGGTCCACCTTGGAAAGCCAAACGCAAAGGAGTCTTGGGTTTCTGCCAAGGTGCTCTGCAGAAGCTTTCAGGGGAGGAGGGTGGAATGGAAGGGGGGTAGGCAGGTGCTCCTTAAGGAACCACATGGGATTCTGCGTGCTTTGGCATCCATCTCAACCCTATTTGAACAAACCTCCCGAACTTGAAACACAGACACATTACAACTGCCTCCCTCCCCCGGAGACAAGGATAGAGCCAAACCAGTTCTTTCACCATTGGCACTACTCTGGGTGCCGCTGTTCCCCCACTGGCTCCTCATGGGTTCTTGGTGTGGCTACAGAAGAGACAGGGAACGCGAGCTGGTGACAAGCTAGAGAGAGCTCAAGGCAAGTGGACTATTGGTGGACAGGACTCACCTGACCCCCTCATCTCTGCCCACACTCGCCTCCCTCTGGGCTGCTGCTCAGCTCCTTGGGACTCACCATCCTGTGTGCTGGCCCCTCTCAGCCACCGGACAAATATCTGTCTAGCCCCTGCCCAGGGAACACTCCAGGTCCCTCTGCTCCAGATCATCACCTGGCCTTGGGAGCTGGGGAGGAAGTAGATGCAGAGGCCGCCTAGGCCCATTTTCTTAGGTCACAGCTGTGTCACCCAAGGAACTTTCTGGACATCACAGCCAACATCAGTGCCGTTACCTTGTGCCAGCTCCCAGCATTCTGACCTCGATTCATCCCATCCCTCAGACTCCACATCGGACACACGGGGACCCCGGGGTCTAGAGTGGGCAGCACCCTGGCCAGTTACAAAAGGGTCAGAGAGGAGACTTGACCCAAGTGATCCCAAGCCTGGTCTCTCTTAAACCTGCACCCGAGTTGGCCCTTCTGGCTGGTGCTCTGACAAGGTCTGGGGTACCCCCATGCCTGATGTTGTCTCCATGCGTGCCCGGGCTGCAGGAGTGCTGCTCAGTTTGCCCAACACATGAGGAGCCATGGTGAGAAGGAAGAGGGCTTTAAAGGGCAACCCCCACACTGAGCCACCCAGTCCTATCACAGGCGACACAGTGCCAGGTCATCAGATCCGCTCTGAAGAGGACACATGGCCAGCAACTGGGAGAGGCCTCCATCTGCCTGCCTGCCTGCCAGGGTCCTGCCAGCAGTCACTGAGAGGTGGGCCTCTCAGACGCCACACGGAAGGTGGTTTACATGGACACACACCAGACGGCGAGAAAGGCCCCAAGCCCTGCAAAGTAGGAACCAGCCTGGCCAGGGAGCAGGCAAGACAGTGAGAACCAGCATCGGGGAAAACCCAGAGGCTGCCAGGCTGCCCTTCGCTCACTGTGTGACTCTGTGCAACATCTCAACTCTGAGCCTCAGTTTCTCAGCCTGTAAGCTGGCAGTAGGAAGTACCGCTCCTCACAAAGCACTGCCGGGAGGGGCCTGGCCACCGTGCCTGCACACCAACATGGCGACACTGAACGGGACGACATCATTGGAGACTGTGCCTCGGCAGTGCCCGGGGATGAGTGGCACTGATGCTGCTCAGCAGAAGTCTGCCGGCACATTTCCAGAACATTCCATGGGCCTCGCTCCGCATGGCACAGACTGAAATGCCTCAGGGCCATGGCCTTGTCCCCTATGTGCTGTGACAGGTCCTGCCAGTGAGGAGTGGGCTGAGATGGGGACACACCACTTGGCATCTCAGGACCTTGGGGACTGGGGTCTCTGCTTCCTTCCCCTGGTAGTGCCTGGCGGGTGCCATCCCCCACTCAGGGGAGTATAGCCCCTGCACCCGTGACAGGCAACTTCCCCCCTGGCACGAGGCACTCTCACCGCCCGGGGTGGAAGTCGGCTTTTCTGGAAAGGAAGGCCAGAGCCAGGCATGACTAGCGTGAGCCACCTCTCTGCATGCCCCGCGGGAGGACGGCCGGTGGCACGGGGGTGTCCTTACCTGTCTCGGTAGAGTAGACAGGGCGTCGGGGCCCATGACACGCTGCTGGTAGCGCTGCGGCTGCTGCATCACCTGCTGCAGCAGGAACGTCGAGGGGTCGTGCTGCTGCAGCTGCAGCGTGGCTGTGGCGGTGGACGAGGCGGTGGCCGAGGACGGCATGGTCGGTGGCTGCTGCAGGTAGTGGAGCAGGCTGGCGTGGCGCGAGGGCGCGGGCATGGGTGGCATCTTGGAGGGCCCCGGCTCTGACATGAAATGCGAGAGCGGCTTGGTGTTGCCAAACGACAGAGGCTCGGGGGCCCCGTGGCTGGTGCTGGCCATGGCTGGTGGCATGAGCATGCCGAAGGGGGCTTTGGACGCGTTGGTGCTCATGGGCTTGAACATGGCATTGGCCATCTGCTGCTGCTGCTGCTGCTGCTGCTGCTGCTGCTGCTGCTGCTGCCCCAGCGCATTGCTGCTGGTTGGCAGGCTCCGGACGAGCGAGCACTGAGGGGTGAAGGACTGCTGTGGCAAGCCGGGGCTGGCCAGCTTCTCTGGGCGGTAGGGCGGCGACGGGCCCGGGGTGCTGGTGGGCAGCGCGGTCAGCATGTGGCCTTGAGGGTGCTTGATGGTGGACGACACCAGGTGCGCGAGGATGGAGCTCTGCTGGGTGAACTGCGACTGCTGCTGGCTGAGCGCCGGGTTGGGCACGTAGGGCATGCTAGGGAGCAAGGCGCCGGAGGAGCTCTGCATGGTGCCTGACGACATGCACGACACCAGGAGGCTCTGCGAGCTGAAGGTCGGCGGCGGCGGGTGAGGCGACGGCACAGGGCGGTAGGGGGGCGAGACGCCCGGGGGAGGCAGGCCGGACCAGCTGGGGGTCGGCGCCTGCTGCTGCTTGGTGGCCGAGCCCTGCTTGCTGGCTGCCAGGGCCTTCAACTGGTGGGCATGATGCCACTGCGGCACGGGAATCTGAGGCATGGCCACCGGGGGCCTTGCCTGTGCCGGGTTCTTGGCCTGCACGCCGGAAGCCGTGGGAGACATCATCTGCTTACTGGTGGGGGGCAGTCCATAGCTGACCCCTGCGGAGGAGGATGGCATTGGCAGTGCTATGCCAGGCACCTGGCTACAACTCGGAGGGAACTCTTTGCTGGGCCCCAGGCTCTCCATGTGTGGCATCTGAACGGTGGGCTTGGCCGGGGCCGCCAGGCTCGCCTGCGAATGCTCCAGAAGCAGCGGCTCCTCCGGCTTGTTTCCCAGGATCTTCTCCAGATCGAGCTCGGCTGATCCCGGTTCTTGAATCTTGGTCAGTTCCTCCAGCAGCTCCTGAAGCTCTTGGTCCACGGCGGCCTGCATGTTGCTGTTGTTGTTGTTACTTTTGTCGCAGTAAGGAACGAGATGGGGTGCCCCCTTCAGGCTCATGTCGGTGGGCGGCGCCACTGCATACGGAGAGCCCATGACACTGCCATTCATGGGATTGTTTTCCAGCATCAGAGAATGGCTGGTGACGCCCATGGCTGCGGAGCTGGGATTCATGGGCATGGGAGGAGGCTGCAGCTCGGTACACACTGCGCTGGCATGCGCCCTGGGCACCCCCATGGAGAGAGTGACATCTTCGAGGCAAGGCCTCTTGCTTTTACTAGGGTAACCCCCTTCAGCCATGCCTGGGTAGTGGTAGCCCTCTTCTTCCTGTCTTCTCTTAGCGGCTCCCTGTGGGTGGAGAGGTGTGGGGGGAAGAGGGAGAGAGATTGGTATAAAGACGCATTAGAGCTAATGAACATGAAACTTCCAAGATACAACAGATTTCTCAGATGAAAGACTTCTGGTTGTCAAAACTCTACAATACAGCCTATTTTGGGAACTGCCAATGCTTGTTTCTTTGTTGCTGTGTTTCATTTAAACTCTCTTGTTAGATTTCAAATAAGTCATTACGCTGTCTGTATATTCTACATGCCAGAAAGTCACAGAAAGGAGGTTCTATGCCTACTTAGGGGAAACTGAGGAAGCCACGAAGGACCCCTTTGGTTAGAGACCGGCGGTGTTGCAGAATTAACCAGAGGTAGAGCAGGGAGGTGTTGGATTCCCATCTATGGGACGTGTGATTTGTAAAGAACAAGTGTGACAAGAGTAACCAAGTGATCTTGAAAGAAAAACAAGTGTAACATAGACGGCGTGTCCGGATGGCCTCCCTGTCTTGCTTCTGTGCATCAGGCTGAAGTTGAGACCATGGACCATATCTGAGCCTTTAAAGGAATTATTCAAGGAGGACACTGAGTTTGGGGCAGCTGTCGAAGCTGCACAGTTGAGGGCAGAACACAATGCAGAGCAGTGACTCAATAGATTCTCTCTCACATTCTCTCAGATTCTCTCTCTCTCCCTCTCCCTCTCCCTCTCTCTCTCTCTCTCTGAGTAGTCCCCTCCTAGGGATGGCTGGCAGTTCCCTTACCAGCCTGCACATTTTTCTCTTGCTTTTTGTTTTTTCATAGGAATGATTTCTAATGCACTGCCCTACCTCCCTCTCCAAGCGTAAGCTCCCTAAAGAAGAAATTCCTCTCTGCAGATGCATCCTTGGGCTGGAAGATAGAAAACAACGGGAAAAGGGTCCAGCCTACAACGTGGGATTGCTGCCCACCAGCTAACAGAGCCGGCCTCCGCGATCAAAGCGGGGCTCTCAGTCATGCTGGGCTTCCTACACGCCCTGGGCTTACAAGGTGCTCCAAGGCAGTCACACAAAGGCCCAAGGCCTGCAAGGACCTGGAGACACAGGGTGGGGTGGGGAAGGGAAACTGTGGGAATTTGTGCCTTAAGGACAGGAAGAGTGGGGCTGGAGCGATAGCATGGCAGTGGGGGGGGGGGTTGCCTTGCATGCGGCCGACCCGAGTTCGATTCCCAGCATCCCATATGGTCCCCCGAGCACCACCAGGAGTAATTCCTGAATGCAGAGCCAGGAGTAACCCTTGTGCATTGCTGGGTGTGACCCAAAAATTAAAACAAAAGGAGAGGAAGAGTGGGGTGGGGAGTGGCTTCTATGACAACAGTCCAACAGAGATACTTCTCTGGTGGCGTTTTCGTGTAAGGAAGCCCTTTCTGGAAGGGGTCTGGGAATGTTGGTATGGAATCCAGGTATTGCACATCCAAGGTCCGTGTTCTACTGTGGGCTGAAGCTGTGGGGCCCTGTCTGTGGTGCCCTGGGACCCCCAGGGACTCACAACTGGCAATAGACAAAGTGGGTCTAACGGGATCATGGATCCTAACCTTGTGATACTTAAGATGGGGACCCGGAGGCCTGCGGCGGGGTCAGCGCTTGCCACGGAACACAGCAACCACAACCACTGTCAACCACTCGGCAGTCTGCACCCTCCCCGCTGTGCCCAACCACTGGCTGACTTCTGTTACTCATTGCGCTCAGGGCACAGCAGGTGAAGGAATCAGGGGACCAATGAGAACCAGGAGACTGGGAATTTTCTTTCATGCAGTTCCTGCAGCTCCATCAACTCTGTGTCAGCTGGTGAATGAGCCATTCGTTCCCAAACCACTGCGATCTTGCACTACAAACCCCGAAAGAAAAAAATCCAGTATATATAGAAGTGGATGAGAAGGACAGGTGAGGTGTCTGTAGGGACAGAGATGCCACAGGCTCCCTGTCCAGGCTGAGATGGCCGCGTGCAGCCCAGGATGATGGCCATGAGGTCAGCAGGAGGGCAAGGCTGGGCCAGGGGTGGCAGGAATGCAGGTAAGGTGGGTGTAAGCAGGTGGGGGGGGACCTGACACATAACGTGGAGTTCACTGAAGAGAGAGGTCCAGGGCTGCCCTGTGCCCATTTGTAGCTTGTGCTGACGTCCCTGGTGGCCAAGTGCATACATGCTGGTATGCCCACTCCATTCCAGTGAGAGCACACCACTGGCTCTTCCGTAACCAAGCAGGCTCCCGGATGTCGTGTGGGCTGCTGCGGAACGTCCACTGCAGTTGGACCGAACCGAGGACCTCCGTTGCAGGGGGCGGGCCGAGCTGCTGATGCTTGGCGGTGCTTCCGCAGGAGGGAGTCTACAGTCAACCCCAAGGGGCTGCAAAGCCGCACAGCTTCAGGTTGGGGATTGATGGTGTCAGATTCCCACAGACAGCCTCAAGTGTCCGTCTCTGATGGGCCCCTTCATCTAATTCCAACTGAGACTGGCTGTGCTTGCCCGCTGCCCAGGGCCATCCTGGCACCTTTTTTCCCGTTTCCCATGGCCAGCACCTGCTATTGATGAGGTCACACTGCTCAAGTTGGGGGATAACAGGCGGAACCCCCTCTTGACATCCCACTGGGAATGGCAGGCACCTCACCTAGTCTCCAGAACTCTCTGAAGCAACAGTGCCGCTCCACACACAGGCCACTCTTTAGCCTATGGCTCAGTGACAGGCAGCTTAGGCCAGCTCTCGCTCCCAATCTGACTCACCCCCTGTGACACTTCTTTCTTCTATTTTAAAAAATATAAACAGCGGGTGAATAGTAGAAGCTGGCATGGTTTCTATAGTCTACATCAATCTCCTTTTCTTTCTTTTTTTTTGGGTTATTGTTGTTTGGGCCACACCTGTCAGTGCTCAGGGTTTACTCTTGGCTCTGTGCTCAAGGATCACTTCTAGTGGCTCAGGGGACAATGTAGGGTTGCGGGGATAGAAACCAGGTCAGCTGCGAGCAAGGCAAGTGCCTTCCTTTCTGTTTTATTGTTCTGGCCCTCTTCTCTTCTTCCAGAAAACATAACTGAATCTGACTTGTCTATAGTCCCACAGTTAGGGAATAACCAGGACACTTAGACCCCAGGTGTCCCAGCTCCCTGAGTCCTTAGCAGTGTGGCCTTTGGTGGGGGAGGAGGGTAGTCACCAGGCATCGTTTAGAAAGAAGTGAATTTCGCTCTATTCACCAATGCCTGTAGAGCCCCATTTCATAATTGGGCAGACAAAGGCAGCAATGTGATCCCCACGACCTTCTAAACATTCATGAAAATGCATCTGGGAGCATGTGATGGCTTCCCCACCCCCTAAATAACGAGAAAACAAAGGCAACCCTTCTGATGGGGGCCAAGTTCAGCTCTGAAGTCCACATTCTTCCTGCGTCTGTCTGGGCATTGACATCCAGCCATTCTTCCTTTTCGACATTTTCAGTCCGGCATGGCACAAAAGGCAGAGATTTCTTGAAAAGATCAAGAGCTTGTGAGTTCCATTCAGGTTCGTAAAGCAGGAATCCGGAGGATCTCAGCTATGGTGCAGGCACAGAAAACTCGCCTCACAGGAGTTTGGCTGCATTTCGGACAGCCCAGCTGGAAGCTTTAACACCCACAATAGGCCAGAAAAATGGGCTCAGATCCTGTGTTGGAGGCTGCAGGTGTCCGGGAGGGGTGGGTTCGGAGATGTCATTGTCCCTCCAGCGGGCCTTGGAAGGGGCTGGGAAGCAGGTAGCAAAGGCTCGTGGCTGCTTCAGTCTCCCGGATGCCAATTTGCTTCCGGGCCCTCTTTGTCTCTTATGGGGAGACCCGTCCCGGTAAACTTCCCTCGGCATTTGCAACAGCACGCAGATTGGAATGCAGGCCTCTGCGATGATGGGGTTCCCCTGTAAACTGGCTCGGCAGAGAGTAGTGAGAAGATGGGAGGGCGGAGAAGAGGGCTTCGAATAAATTGAGCATCCCGAGGTTTAGGGGAGCAAGTTTTCTGGACAAAGGGCGAAAGAAGGAAGAGCCGGGCTGTAGGGCCCCTGCAGGAGGAAGGCCGTGCTTGGCCGGCCGCACGGCCTTTCTCATGACACGTCCCCATTGACTGAAGCGATCTTCGACAAGTCCGCACAGGGCTTTCAGTCTTGCCAGCAGAACAGGGTATGTGTCTCTGCGGCGTGCCAGAAGAGGTGGGAAGGTCGGGGAGCCCTCAAAGTCGAATGGCCCCCAGGAGTCTGTCTCAGGAATCCCTGCTCCCAGCCCCCGAGCAGCAAGAACCTCGACCTATGACGGGCGAAGTCTTGGCGCCGCCATTTGCCCGAGCAGCACCTGATGGCCGAGCAGGAGGGTAGCGCCAGAGGAGTGACCCTAAGCCTTTCAGCTCCCTTCTCTCTCCTCTATGCAGTGTGTGACCGGGGGCAAATCACTGCCCTCTCGTTGGTCCTCAGCAACATTTTCTGTACAATGGGCTCTTAGTCTGCCCCGTGAGCCTCAGAGCCTCTGGGGATGGTGCCCAACCGGGAACGCACTCTTTACTGACACCCTGCGCTAAGCCCCGGGTCACCAAGCTGCCTGCTGGCTCTTTAACAAACAAGGGCATGGCCACCAGGATTGGGGCACTGACAGGAAAGGACAGAGGCCACCCACTTGGCCCCAACAGCCCTGTGCCAGCAGCCGGCAGAGTTGCCTGGTTCTCAGGAAGAGAGGTGGCATTTCAAATGCCCCCATCAGCTGCTCGCCACCAGGCAGTATCCCGAGTTCCATCACACCGCCTGTGACCCCCTGCCTTCCCTTCCGTCTGATGGCTGACTGGAAGCAGCTGGGGGGGGAGGGCGTGCAATTTTCTCGAGCTTCCTTCTCTCTGTGGAGTGTAGAGGCAGCGCCTGGAAGAGCTGGTAGCTCTCAGAACATCCCCGCACCTCCGGGAGTGTGTGGCTTTCAGGCACCCGGAGTCCCCGGGGTCCCATCCTCTGAGCGGAATCAGAGCATGCCACCCTGAAAGAAGGCTGCCAGGCCCCGAGG